GTGCAAGGACACATCCTTGCCTCGGCCCTGAATCACAGGGAAAAGATTGACACTTTACAGCACTTTCAGTATCAGTATATAGGCTAGCTATTGAACCAATAATCCGTGCTGGAATTCCCCTTAGTCTTAGGATCTCCCATAGTGATCTATGATGCACCGCATCAAATGCCTTCTTGAGGTTGATGTAGGCTGCAAACAGCCCACGATCAAACTCATGACAGCATTCCACAATAACATGAAGTGTTAGGATACAGTCTTTTGTGAATCCAGACTACTCTGGTACCATAGTAGGTGGTAATGGATCTGTTTCAGAAGAATGTGGGCGAAAACCTTGCCTGGAATACTGAGCAATGTAATGCCATGGCAATTGCTACTGATCCCCATTCCCCTTCCAGAGAGGGATGACCACTCCCCTCAACAAGTCAAAGGAAATGGAACCAAAATATAAAATGGCAGTTAAGACCACATGCAAACCCCGTGCAATAGGTTCACCCCCAGCCTTCAGTAGTCTGGCAAGGATATCACATATGCCTGCAGGTTTCAAAGCCTTTAGTTTAAAGATCGCCTCCCTAATCTCAGGGTAGGAGTTTACTCATTGATGGCTGGGTCTGGCATATGTACTGTGACACCATTTGCGTCCAGACTAACTGCTGGAAGATCTATGTGGTACAGCTGCTCAAAATACTTAGCCCAACATTTATGCACCCTGAGACAATCTGAGATGATCTGTCCAGTTGAGCCAAGCAACACGCATCTGTGGTCCCTAGTGTCTCTGGTGAAATGAAAGTCTGCCTCACCCTTGGGCATTTACCAATGGACTGCATTGCATCGAGTGGTTCATGCTAAATGGACTCCCACAGAGCTACTGGGTCCATCAGCGACTGCCTTGGCGAGCCTCCAGGCACACTCCTCCCCCAGTCTGTCCTGGAGTTATCACTGGAAAAATGGGTAGTTTTGAAATGTACCCTTAGGATAACCACAACCAGTCTATGGTCGATACTACAGAACTCGGCACTCCGGTATACCCTGTAGTTCTGAAAGATCCTCCAGTGAGTGCTGACAAGAATGTGATCGATCTCCTTGGCCACACCACCCATGTCACTGTACCATATGTCCAACGATGTGGGTTGGAGTGCTGATACCAGGAGCTGAGACCCTGAGAAGGAGGCGATTCTCATTAATTAGATGAGATAGTGAACCATGGAGACTGACAGAGATCTTTTAACCAGCTTGATCACAATTGGATATCACATTGAAATCGCCCAGTTTGATGCAACTGTTTCACCAGGGACATTTGCCTTCACAGATGAGTTTGGAGAAGAATGCCCTCTTTCTCGAGTTCACAAACGTCAGTAGGGGCGTACACAGCAATAAGAGATATAAAGCCAAAGCATGCTTCAGTCTCAATATGATAAGATGTTCATCAACCAGTATTACCTCTACTACCGATGGTTGAAGTCGGCTGGAGATGGCTACGGCTACTCCCTGGAGATGGTGACCATTGCCCTGACCTGACCAGTAGAAGGTGTACCCACCCATACAGCCAAGTCTTCTTACCCCTGAGAGGGCAGTCACCTCAACTCCCTACTGCCTCAATGCCCTTGAAAGCTTTACATCACCCTGAGTATGAAACACTCACCCATACATACATACATATATATCCATACATACATATACATACACATACACACATATACATATATATATGCACACATATATCTATATTTACCTATACAGACATATATGCTACGGAGTGACCTAGGTTGGAGGCCAGGTCAGGGAGGATTGTTGTATATCTATATCAATGCGGCATTGCATTATTCCATCTTTCACATATATACCTCAGTATATCTGACTAAATCAATTTAGTAGGTCGCGTGGCATGGTTGGTTTAGTACTGGGCCTCCGGTCTCATACACGGAGTGACCTAGGTTCGAGGCCAGGTCAGGGAGGATTGTTATATATGTGTGTGTGTGTGTGTGTGTGTGTGTGTGTGTGTGTGTGTGTGTGTGTGTGTGTGTGTGTGTGTGTGTGTGTGTGTGTGTGTGTGATATTCACATATATATTCATATATATATATATATATGTATATATATATATATATATATATATATATATATATATATATATATATATATATATATACATATATATATATATATATATATATATATATATACATATATATATATATATATATATATATATATATATATATATATATATATATATGTCTGTATATATATCATAATAGGTGGAAAAATGCAGAGACTGGCAGAGAATCGAGTCTTAGTCAGAGAGGGTAGTTATTTATTGATATCAATGTGTCAGTGCATTATTCCATCACACACACACACACACATATATACATTTATACATATATGTATATACATAAATATATATGTATACACATGTATATATATATACATATATATATATATATATATATATATATATATATATATATATATATATATATATATGTGTATATATATATATA